CAAATTTCAAGATGTTACCTCCCTTTCGTTGATTAACTTGAACGTTACCCCTCGCTTTCAAGTCATAAGTTTTGACTATGCTCCCCTCCCCCCCTCTGGGTAACCAACCCTGTTCCCTCCTGATAATTATCATATCTGCGGGGTGTTTTCATTTGAATTTGAAATTACTTTCTTGAGAATAGGTAGATAGGTGTCCGTGTGTTTTTGCTTTTCAAAGCGAAGTCGAGATTCCAGCAATTGCATAAATGCCTTTCAAGTGCATCATCACGACGAAAAGAAAAAGGAATCCAGTTTCAACTGCTTCTGATTTGGTAATTCCTGAAAATCGTCAAGAGAAGCAAACCCAGCTTGTTGGAGAAGGAAATTGCTTTCCTGGAGTTCTTCAACGCTTACAGTAGGCTTTGAACGCCGATCTTTTGCTAAGGACGAACCTCTTTGAGAATCCTTCTGGAGGGCTTGAAGAGCTTGGGGGATGTGTCCCTTGCGAATGTYRAGGAAMGAAAACAACTGGGATATCATATACTCGGGATTTTTCACCAGGTCTTCATACTTGAGTGGGTAAATATCTATTCCKTGGTGTTTGTATKYAATATAACAGGCACACATGAAGATCCATCTCAGTGTAAAGATACCATACAGGGTAAGATTACTGAACAAACTGCTGCTGATTGYCATTGACTCGTACTCTCTTGTGTTAGGTATAGGAGTAAAAACCCCTAAGTTTGGTATAAGTTTTAGTGTCATCATCTTTCTTATTGGCTTGGGGAATTCGGGCATAATTTTTACAAATGAACTTATGGTGTTTCCTGGCTGACGATACATGAATATATGCTTAACATAGCTGCAWTGAACGTTGATTTTTCTAATTTGTCGTACACAGAATGATCTTGATTTAATGACAATCATATCGATTTCCTTCGCCTGTTGTTTTTTGCACTGCAATCTCACTATACTCCTCACGATCTCGCTGTCTTCCATGTCGGTTGTGTTCCTCATTACGTGTTCAAAATATGCTTGACTTAATGCATCTGGTTCAGACATAACTAGTGTTTTAGGGACGTTTTCCAACATTTGCGCCAGTAATGTTGAGCCACACCTCCCAGTACTGGATACCAGTACAATCTTAGGTGATGGATCACCTATTTCTTCAGCAAGAATGTGGAAAGATTTCATTGGCATTACGATGAGGTGGGATGCAAAATTGAATTGGGCACCAAATACGAAAGGATGCAAATTAGAACTGTACACATCCATGTCTGGAGAGACAACTGCAAAAAACGCCTGCTCTGACGTCACGCCCATCAAAGTGATGTTATCGCGGCGTACGTGATTGGGATGAACATAGTCAGTGTGAAGAAGGAGAAAATTTTCTTGCGTGGCAGAATCCGTCTCTATCCACTTTGCTCTGAAGACAATTTTAAGGATCTGTGCAGACGATTCATAGCGAGTTCTAGCCTTTAAACAGTCTTTTTCCCAGCCAGAAGCCAACGAATAACCGATAGTGAAGTCAAGAGTCTGGTTCACTTTGTATATCAGCCATTGTAAGATTTTTAGAATGCACACCTTCCACATTGTCTAAATATCGAGCAAAATAMAAATATTAGTGAACGGCTCATATGGAGCCAATGAAATCATCAAGCAAATCGTTGCTGACTTGCACTGACTCGAATTATCYGTTGTTGTTTTTCTATGTATACATGAGATAAAGGAATAATTTTAAGTACACACGACTCCGCATGACTCCAAATACTTTCTACAATGCARCGTTTCGTCGTTTTCTTGTAGAAGGCTGAGAAATCAGAAATTATGCATCAGTCAATTATAACCACGGCCGCCAACCTCCGGGTAATACCGGGGAGAATAATCTTCTTCACGGTTCCCTGCACCATCTTGAAAGGTAGCCGTGCCTTTACTACATCGAAGCGAGACGACCGTTGGGCGTGCAATGATAGAAACCTACTTTCACACCTACAGACAATTATTCACAGATTTCTATCATTGCACGCTCAACGGTTATCTCGCTTCGATGTAAAGGCACGGCTACCTTTCAAGATGGCGCAGGGAACCCTTAAAGTGCATATGAACCATTTTAGAAAATCATTTTTAACAAAAGACAAATATGATTAGCATCATATTTTTCTTTTGTTAAAAATGATTTTCTAAAAGGGTTCATATGAACTTTAAGGAGACTATTAACATTTCAAATACTCATTAATTATTCACGAGGTATCTAGCCAATCCTTGTTCGTAATTCATACCACGTGCAGTAACTGGAAATCGGAGGAAGTTACTAGGCGTACTGAATTAATTTTGTTCCAGTTACTCCGTACTGAATTAATTTTGTTCCATTTACTCCAAGCTGATTTAATTTCTCAGATAATTTCAAAGTCCAAGTTATTGAAGTTCTTTTAAACAAGTAGAAATAGTAAACTAAGTTTACAATTTAGTGAAAAAAATCTATGATAAATTTCATCTTGAGATTCGAACTCCCAACCTTCTGATCTATGCCCTCCGCCTTAAACCATTACACCACTCACTATCCGATGAAAAATCTCGGAAGATAAAATGATTTTAAATGTTATGAATAAGTTCATTAGGATTAAAATGAATAGCAGACAGGGAATTTGAATAGCTTTTGTTTCAAATGCCCAAATGGGTATTGAAGAACAATAAATAGTGCTCAATGATRTAAATATGAAATCCTGCATGAAGGAGCAAATATAACCAATGTATTCCTATAGACTTTTAATATTTTTCGGCCCTTTTCTCCTCCCGAATAATTAATGAKKATTTGAAGTCDTTCCAAGTCCTCCAATTCGGACTGGACAGGATTTCAAGTCCTTGCAATTAGTTCCAGTTCTCGGCTGCGCCTCGGACTGGAACTAATTGCGCGGACTTGAAATCCCGTCCAGTCCTCATTGTCGGACTTGAAACATTACTTCAACAATGCTATTAAAGAACCGACATTTCCCTGCAATTAAAGGCAGCTAAACTGATCATTTAATTTGATTTAGACGTTAATTCTTGCCTATTRATACCGTCAATTGTGCTGAGTTTAGAAATCCCAGGCTAATTTATTAAYTCCMCGGCCATCCCCGGGTATTAGGGGGCCGGAGTTTCAAATGACTCTTGCAATAGCTAAAGGGTTAAATAGTAACATTTTCAAGGAGATAAACCTGGAATTTTTATCATCTATGGCATCCTCGACTAACCTGGTTTCATTTTAACCCTCTAATGCCCAAATTTCTGGGGAATTTTTAACCGATTTAAAGGTGAAAAGTGTAAAAAAAAAAAACGATTTCAGCACCGATTTCACGGTTGTCAAGGGAACTGATGCTGATTTACATAGCCAAACATTCAAATTCTCGAGGAATGCCTGCTAAGTTTTTGCTTGTGTCTTTGAATAGCGAACAGCTCGTTCAAAACACGGCAAAACTTGGTTTTTAAGTGTTTTTTAAAGTCAAACTCAAGCACAAGAGCCCCTAGACTTGCATTATTAAGCTTGGCTAGGCGGCAGAGGCGCTCTTCTGGAAGAAATCAGAGGTGGGAAGCGATTTTGCGAAGAAAATGGCGATCGTCAGTTGGTTTAAAGCTGATGGCGCCATTGGAGTGAAATCGACTCCCTGGCTGTCTTGTGTTTGATTTTGCGACCTACCATGCAAATTTCGGCAAGTTTGGACTTCCTAAAAAAGCAATCGGCTCAATATTTTGCGGGTAGGACCGAAWGACTTGGYACTTMAAAAAAATATTGAAAATGCAGAGTACGGGTTAGTTCTTGTCGAAAAAATACGCAATTACCCATAAATCTGTGCGAGTGTAACGCAAGAAAACATGTAAGTCGGGGAGTGGACCTAAAGAAAGGAGCTTTTTCTCCGCTTACAGAATAAACCAATAGACAATAAACTGACCAATGCAAAGTCAATGTGTCAGACTTCCTGAAAAAGTTGAGTTTCGGCATGAATGTAAGGATTTTGAGCAGTAGAAATGGAAAGAATTCAAGCCATTCTCTAGTGTCCTCGTATAAATTGTAAGCGTGTGCAGCTCAGATCTCACCAAAACAAAAGTGACCGTAATGGTCACGGAAAAGAAGCAGAAGTCTTAGTTTAGAATTTAGCAGCCAGGTAATGTCCTAAGCAACACACTCAAGACGTTGTTAGCACCTTAGTCACTTAACAGAGAAAATTGAATTTTTTAAAAGAGAGTGGTCGATTATCGTACAAATTCGTACGATTGGGCGTTAAAGGGTTAAAAAAGGTCACTTCTTTTCACCGTACAGTGCTGTGACGGTGATGTTGCGTGACAGTTTAATGATCCGTGTCTGGTGTCCGCTCTGAAGAGCGATCAGTTCCAAACGTGTCTTAAATGCCGAGAAGTCTTATTTTTTCTCAACAAAAAAATAAATAAATAAAACAACGGAGATTGAATATATCAAACCGTTTTATATTTATTGAGAAATGTCAAGCGCTTTCCGAGAGCTCAGTATATTTAAATTGAATACCAAACAGTTCATTTCAGGTACTTGGATTTTTTTTTCGCTCGACTGGCGGTKACAACCTCCAAAAGACTGTATGACCGGCAGTCTAAATTTCTTTTGAAAATAATATAAATAACTATGATCACAGACATGACATTATCTTCCTTTCTTGAGAAATGTCAAGCGCTTTTCTCTGAGCTCGATCGTTGAGTTCTAATCAAGTAAATTCTCTTGGACATCATGATAGCTCGTAGACATGTCGTATAGGAGTTCACGACTGCCAGTCGATTTGAACCCACAGATCCGGCACTGAGGTCAACGCTTGCCGCATTTCTCAAAATATATCGAACGGTTTGATACATTCAATCTTAGTTGTTTTCTTGATTTTTGTGTCATTTAGTCTTTTGATGTCCTTAGTGACCCAATCTAAAGTCGTTGTTACCCAAAATATTCTTAAACTTAAAAAGTCTTTAATTCGAGGGCATTGACCGGCTGCCGGACATCTACAGTTACCTAGACGCTGTATTACCTAAAATATTCTTAAAATTAAAACCTCGTTCTATGATTTTTGTTCTGTACACTTTTGTATTTTATGTATTATATTGTAATTCATGTCCTGTGTGATTACTAATTGAAGTCTTATCGATAGCGAGTCTCTTCTTCTACTAAAAGAATGCTGCTATTTGTTCTGTTGTTATGTAGAGTCGTAAACAATATCCTATCCCTAAATACTTACCGAGGAAAAAAMCCAGTAGCAATAAATTCTAGACCAATAAATCCCACAAAATGCCAACTATTAATTATAATCACCACAAGACYTTGTAACAATGCACAACCACAGGAAGCCCAATCTTTAAAATTGAAGGACAGACAGACAAACATATAGAGAGAAAATTTTAATTGGTGCTGTGTACCACCTTCATACATTGACATTGTTCTGCAAATAATTGCAATGATTGTAATTACTTTACAAATTCATCAGATTACAAATATAAGATGTAGCGTAACGTTCATATGGTGTTTCCCAGAAGCCCAGAAATTGCACATGAAAAATGTTGATTACTAAATTTGTCTTAGTAGATAGTTAGGTAACCCTTCCCTTAAGGGTATAAATTTAAGTTATGATGACCCTTTCCTCGGAGAAGGGGTTCGAACGAACTCCCCCACGAGCTTAAGATATCCGGTGTTTCTTTTTCTATTGTTCTATTTTATTTGTCGTATACGGGATGAACATGTTTTAATAACAATCTTATCGATTCCCTTCGTCTGCTGTTTTTGCACTGCAATCTCACTGTACTACTCACGATCTTGTTTTGTCTTCCCTTTCCGTGGAGAAATGCATCTGGTTCAGACATCATATGTGTTTTGGGSACGTTTTCTTGTGATTTGTGTTTTAAGAGTRCGTCACGAGTCCAAAAGACGCACACTCGCTCCAGATCCCCACACTCATATATAAACACCAACCGACTGTCTCACAGACATGCATGAAGCCTTATGTTAGCCACTTAAGTTAGCATTAAAGAGCCACTTTTTGAGGCAACCAGTGGAGTCCTAGACTTGCTAAGTTTTACTTCTCCATTAGGCTGAGTATCACGCTCTCTTGAAAGGAATTTGGGCAAATGACACATCCCAATAACCTTCGAGAGAGGATGATGCTYAGACTATTTCTCCATCTACAAATGAAGCTGATGTTTTAAACCAAGCCTTTTGTGATTATTACATAGTATATAGGTTTGAAGCGCACCAAGCGTCGACCTATAGTCATTTAAGTTAGATACGAAAGATATACCCAAAAGGAATTAGTATAAGCGGCGTTAGCATGTGCATAAATAAACCTGAGTCTGCTTGTAGAAACAGAAACAGAAATATATGTAACCGAACGCATTTTCGCACCACACCCCTACCCCACACCCACCAGCACCAGCACCACCACCCCCACCCCCGCCCCCACCATTCCTCCAAAAGCATAACACCCTTAAAAATTAAATGTCTAGAAAAACATGACTATGATTTTGAAGAGGTAAATCGAGTGGTCTCACTTTGGGATGTAGGAGACTCTCAGTATGTCTGTAGCTGTTTGATAAACCAACCAATCACACCGTTCCATTTTGGCCAAAACTATAAAATACTGACTATGTTATTGTTTCTACCAGTGTGAAGCTAGATAGAGACGAACATACAGTGACTACCATGGCTTTAGACAAGGTTTTTCTCCTGRTTCTAGTTTCTAGTCTTGTTGCTCATGTTCATCTTCAAAAGGTTGTTGTGGAAAAGGACGGTAAGGGTTTGAATGCGACCATTATTTTCAATTTTGACAACTTTAAAGTTGCATTAGCAATGTTTTCAGTTATTCATTCTTGCAAACCGTTTGCCAACGCAACTTGTCAATTATGAGAAGCAAACTGGTATTACATGGACGCGCCGAGGACAGATCTTAGCATTAAAAAGCGATCGAAGATGTAAACCGTATCTCGGAGTACCCTTGTGATTCAACTAGTTGCATACATAACATCATTGGAATTTGCTCAAATTGAGAATGATAGGTATTCCATGGACGATTATATGACAAAAAGAGTTCTAATAAAGTACCCAGATAATTCCTAAAATCACCTTCGATGACGAGACTCGCCCGTGTCATTTTGACTGAATAAAATATCTCATTTACAGCTAATGTCGAGGAAGAAACCTTTTGATGAAATTCAGCTGAATGACTTGAAGTTAGCAGCCCGGGAGAGAAGGGTGGAAACTACTCGAGAGGAGTTTTTCAAGAGCTGGTTTTCAAAACTCTCGTTCAAGAGTTGTTTCACAAAGCAATTCGAATGTTTTAGCGCCCCTTAAAATAACCCTCTCGGCGTATAGTTTTCATGAATAAAAAGGAACTTGAAAGGTCCGATGGTTCTTTTTTTATTGTTCTATTTTAAAATTCTTTTTTATGAACTGTTTTTAAGATCAATCTAGCAGCCAGTTCTTACACACTATACCTGTGCATTAAACTAATTTAGCTAAAAATTTAATTTGGTGTTAATTTAGGACCGCGTTATGAAAAAACGGACCACCCCATTTAGATTTCAGCCTACGGGCCTCTGGAATCTGTGAAAAAAAACTGAATAAGTTTAAATAAAAGTCACTTGAGACACAGACATTTCGAATTTCCTTCGTACTTCATAGAGGGGCCGCACCGCCACGCCGTTAATAGTTCCAATATATACAGTGGTTTTTCGATCTTTACTTTGAAAAATTAAATCATGGACTTTCAATGGAACCTACAGAGATTCCTAGTGAGATATATTTTTGAGGTTCATTTTGAGGATCATTTTGTTCCAAGGAGAAATTATTGTAATAAAAGGCACACAATTTTTGGGCTACTTAGTTTAAGGGTTATGTCCAATTATTTCAAGAGCTGCTCAGTCAAATTACAAGTGCCTTCTGTGGTGGACGAGGAAAGCTACTCAGACAAGATCCTGCGCAACTGATTCGTATTTRTTACCGTGTCCAGTAATGCAGTTTAGCAATCCCAATCCATAATCCATTCGCTTCGGGAAACATCAGCGGCCTCGGGACCACAAAACATACTGTTTCCCTCGGTGGCTGCTGTTTTCGTTTTCATTTTTTTCATTCAGAAAATGTATACTTTCATTGTAATAGTAGCTTTATTATATTTAACAAATCGAAATCGCTTTTCAGACCATAGAAAAGCGATTTCGATTTGTTTTTTACATAACAAAGCCGAAAACAAAGTAAAACGTTCAAAACAAAATCGTTTCTGGAGCGCGCCGGCTCCGTGCGCGAGCGATTCGCCATTTCATCGGTCTGTCCTACGATCGACAACGGCTCTCGACCAATCAGCGCGCGAGAATTCTACAAGATGCAATGAAGATGTGTTGTGTTGGTTTAGTGAGTGTTAAGGGTGTACTGACAAATCTGTTGCTAGGGAAATTCAGTAGTTCTCTAAAATGACTAAAAAAAAGGAAAATCGCTTTCATATTTGGTATTTAGCCTTACAAAAAAATAAGGTATTCCATGACGTTTGGTATGACGTCATCACGTGACGTCATAAATATGAAAAAAGGCTATAATTTCATCAAGCAAAGTAAAATAAACGATTTAAAATGGATGAAAAGAATCTTCATATCTAAGTCCACAAATGCAAGCATGCGTTTTTAGAATGATTGCCAAATAAGCTTTTTATGATTTTTTAAATCTCATAAATAAGCGAAAAATGCCAATAACTTTTTTGTATTTCTTAATTTTTCGGCAAACCCATGCTTGATTCTGAAGAGGAGGCTGTAAAGAACATAAAAACTGAAAAAACACGTCCATTTGATGTTCCGCGCGCCGAAGATTTTATTTTTTAAATGATGCCATACATTTTATGTAAATAAAAGCATTTCCGCCGGAAGTAAAAATTTTCACGCCATAAAAATGTGCGCGCGCGCTCTTCTCCGATTGGCTGCATAGCGAGCCATAGCAGCCAAGTCGTCTAGCAACGGATATGTCAGTACACCCTTAAGTGTGCTAATTCATTGCCGATGATCAACAGGTGTTTGCGCTGATAGGCCGAGTCATTTTGCTAACTGTCCAAGCTGGGCGAGAAGAGGATGGTGCCAACCAGGATACAGATACAGCTTCTTCGCACGATTGAGTTGCAGGAAAACATGCCAGCTTTGTCACGGCGGTAAGTCAGTACACTTATCCAGACATCTCTTACCCAGAGCCCGCGTAACCTTTGGTCTGCGACAGAGAACTTGTCTTTCGCGGTCAAGAATTGAATTAATCACTTAATTAAGCCTCAAGCCCGRCCTTTCGTAAATGACAAAATGAAGAACTTCACCATGTCTTTTATATTATTAATAGCTTAGCATTGTGCACCCCTTAAGTTAAGATATTTTGTTTAAAAACAAAAGGACATCCAAAGAACCGYATGGGGCCGGTCTAGTAAATGTGTCAAAATGCGGGCACATTCGCGGCTTCCTATATATTTCTGTAGAAATTTTGTAGAATATGAAAGGCTGTAACTCGTTCATGCRCAACATCGAACTGATTTCACCAAAGGTTGGTGTTTCAGTCAATTCAATTCAATTCTAATTTATCACTGATATTTTTATATATGTTTAAAAATGCCTTCATGATCAGGTATTTATCATTATGGTTCCTCTTTCTATGTAAGTCCCATGATTATCTAGTTAGGGGATTTTGCCCAGTCTCCACTCGGTTTGAAACCTGCCCATAGTTAGTTTCACACCCTGTATGCTATAAAATTATTTTCATTTCAATTYATCTAGAAAGCGGTTGCTTTGATAAGTTTATTGAGTGCAGGAGCAGAAGAAGCTATTGTAAACATGGCAGCCCTTACAGGAGATTCATGGTAAACAATTGTAAGGAGACATGTCAACTGTGTCACTGAGGTATGTTCTTTTGCTACATTCAACCATTAGCGTTGTTCAGGTGTAAAGAAGTTAAGACAACAACAAAAGTAATTTGCTTTTTCATCGATTAATGAGTATCCCTTTGTGGTTGATGAAGAGAAAAAAGTGTAATTAAATTAAACGATTGACTGACTGGCTGACCGGAGGAAACTAGCGGTAAACTAGTATGAGCTGTGTCGGTGATTGATAATTGATTGATTGATTTAATGAGTGATTGATTGATTGCCTGATTGATTGATTGATTGATTGACACTGGAAAAAATCGSGCGCTTTAAAGGTTGTRAATATGATGTACATATGATGTAAGTGTACAAAATTCTGTAAATTTAAGTAAATCATTTACATCAAATTTACAGAATTTTGTACACTTACATCATATTTACATCAAATTTACAACCTTTAAAGCGCGCGATTTTTTCCAGTGTGATTGATTGATTGATTGATATTGATTGATTGATTGATTGATTTACGGATTGATTGATTGATGGATTTTAAAATGAAAGTGCGCAAGTTGACTCACTTTGAGGTTGTTTCTGTTGTTTGTTTTGATGTAGATAGCCATGCCTTAATTGTTTTTTCATTTTTATTATCATACTGAATTACAGTTTTATTATTCAGACAAATCCTCCAGTCGGAACATGGAAATGTGATTACCCTGTCGACCAAAACACACATGTCTAGTTGTATCTTTGCTAATTCAGCAGTGATTGAATGCTTTAGATTAATTGTACGTAGAGAGTTTATTGGCTATTTTAAGTGATTGTGGTGTTAAGTCAAAAGTTGCATATTAAATAAAAAACACTTATCACAATCGTTCTTTTTGCCATAATTTAGTTCATTTCAGTGGCGGAGGCAGAACGTTAGAGGAAAGGGCGGGGGGTGGCGGTGGGGTGGTATAGGGATAGAATCAGGCTGAGGGAACTGAAACACAGTGACTGCTTTAGTTATTGTTTGAGAACAAAAATAATAAGCATTATTGAGCCATCTTGATAAGAAAATATACGATGTAGTCAACCACTCTAATCACTCCCCCTGGATACTCTCTTGCATGCTGTGTGGTAGCCACTGTTTCCAACCAGGCAACATTTACTGCATTTACTAGTAGTTATATAACTAAAGAGAATATACTATAAAACTGAAAAAAGAATATAAAGAGATGGAAATTGAAAAACTAAAGAATAATAAGAAACAAGTTAAAGAAAATTACAGCAAAAAAAAAATAGAAAAAAAAAATAAAGAACTTAAAAGCAACACCGCTGGATTCACTAGCTCGAAATTTAACGTTGCATATTCAAATCAGTAACTCTTTATCTTATTGGTGTCGTCCTTATGGATGTTTTTAGCCCTTGGATTTTTGTCCTTCTTTCTTTCTTTTATTTCCGTTTTTTGTTCGTGACATTTGAGTAACTTGTGTGAACCAGGCGAAAGGACACTGAAATCAATAAGAAAATTGTATGCCAATTATAATGAACCTCCTTTAAGATCTCAGGCCAAAAACTGCTCTCCTGTGAAGGCCATGTAAAAAAAAACTATTCTGATTGTTTAATTACTTTTTACTTAACTTCATGTAGTTGTTTCATGTTTCAGTTGGCCACAGATGGCAACGTAAATCATATTCAATAACATTATAAATATAGGAAACGTGTGTTTTTATGTTTACTATCGTTAGTGCAAAGATGCTGAAAAAGACATTTAACGATATCTATATACAACTCTTTTAGAAAACGTTGAATACGGAGGATAGCTGAGTGAATTCAAAGAAATCAATCGTTATTATTCCATCGCGGTTCAAAAGCAGTTTTCGTCTTGTCACTATAATGTATTATAAACAGCGAACAACTTCAATGTAAAGCAATAGGCCTTTTGGATGAAACATGGTACTTATTCTGCCATTCTGGAGCGCAAAACTCCCACTGGGATGTTCAAAAAACGAAGAAAAGTCAAGCTTGACGTGCTACGTTACTATTCTTTTTGAGGTTGTTTACATATTCTTTTTACCTCAGAATGGCAGATTTAGTACCATGTGATCGTTTCATTCAAAAGGCCTATTTAGTAATTGCGCGATCTGTGCGATCTGATTGACAGAAGCGCATTCCAGTTTTTCTTGATTCGTCATTTCAGCGTTACCCTAAATTTTAGCGAGAAAAGAGCAAAATTGAGACTCGCATTGCCAATAGATAAGTTATTTATTAGCTTTATTTTGTTCCATGGTCTATAATGAAAAGCTATTATGTAAGCCTCGGTTGTTTTTTTGAACTGACCTCGGCCTGTGGGCTTGTCCCATACATCAAAACCTCGGGCAGCTTTTTACCATATTGACCTCCATGAGCGCTGGGAAAWAGCGTATTTTTGACGGATAAAGATAATTGGTCTATGATTGCATGGCTCTGCGTGCTTATACATTGTAGCAACTAACATCATTTGGTTGACAATGTTTGAGTCAAAATGCTCAATTCATCGCTGTTTGTTTTGTATAATCAGTGATATGTACCGCTATCATAGA